ACTCCTCTCAACATAAAGAATGATCAACACTACAGATGCAAAAAGACGGAGGGCTTAGGTGAGAAAGCAGAAGATATACGAGAGACTCAGGCAGGTGTTACTGTAATAGATTTCTTCATGCAGGTGACGTCAGTTTCCCTGCTGGCTCAGCTGCTAAGAATGCAAGCACCTGTCTCATTCCGAGTTCTAGAACTTGCTTTTAGGTTAAGAGGGCAGATCAGAGACGCTTCTTATCTACTGTTTCTCAAGCGCCTTCAATTCTGGATAATGTGCAGAAGTGTAGCAGACCAACCAACCGAGCTACCTGGAGGTCCCTGGTCCCTGTCCCAGACTCCACCTGAGCTAGCCTAGCCTACTCTTTCCAGCTCTCTCCAACCAAGCCTTGCTTGTAGGAACCTAGTCCTATTAATTTGTCCTCTTGGCCCCGGGGTTGAGGATGAATGACAAAGAGACAGATAGTCGAGTATGCAGGTAGCCAGGGGGCTCTTGCCTCCCCAGCCTCTGGCTGGTCCTACTTTAATTCACTCAAAAACAGGTATAAGCACTGAAAGCCACACAAGAGCTGACTGTCTTCCAGTATCCACTAGTGCATGCCCAGGTAAACAGCTTGATCTTGGCCATCTTGACTTTTCTGTAGAACCTGCAGGTGCCATCGCCCTGCATGTGACCATTCTCCTTTGTCCCCTGACTGGTCTCCCCCTTCCAAGCAGCATGTTGGAGGTGGCCCGTCCTGAACCCCTTTAGCCTCTGCTGCTGTTCATGATCCCAAAGTTGCCCATTGTGAAACACCTGGAGTTGTAGTCACCACCCCCATTCCTAATTAATAATTTACACAGACTGGTAGTGCAACTGCAGAGTCACTGTTGTTTGCTGTCCTTGCAGTCTATAGTTTCATTCACTCTCAGAACAGGGGAGGGACAGCTGTGCAGGTGTGGGGAGGGGACATGCTAAAGCCTTCGTGTCCTCTTCACCACCAGCTACCTGCTTCTCTCCATGCCAGTTCAAGGCTTTTTTGCCTCAGCTACAACTTGCAGAACCCTCAGAACTGTGGCCAGTGTTCTAGAAATGCGTGTGCTCCAAGCAGCGCTCTGGCACCCCTTGAGAGGCGAGGGCAGGGCACTTCCCTAGTGGGAGCTGTCTACTCCAGATCTGAGATCAGCGTGGCCTCTGGGGGTGTGACCAGTGGCAGGAGCTGCAGTCCCAGCAGGGCTGGATTGTGGGCAGGCTGCTGAGTGCTGCGGGGTGCACAGGTACCCAAATTACTGCCCCCTGTCCTACCCCCACTCCCTGTGTGTTTCATAGTCCAGCCAATGGTGTCCAACATGCTTCCTCTTCTTTGTTTTTCATTTGCATCTTAAAGGGTGTGTGTGTGTATACTCACGTGCTCACACACATGTGCTACAGAACAAACCCAGGGCATCCCACTTGCTAAACAGGGGCCTTACCACTGAGTTATTAGTACAGCCCCTCACACAGATGTCATCCTACTACATTACCTGACATTGAAAAGGCCACTCCTAGGTCTCACTTCGAGAGTCCCCTTGTCCAGCAGACATGGGCCCGGGAAACAGCTGTTGCTCCCGATCTCTTACCTGTCACTCCAACTCCGTCCTCAGGCTACATTTCTGCAGGGTTCAAGAAGTATCTATAAGAGTGTCAGAATGAAGTAAGAGAAGAAAGGGACAAATGGAGGAGGAAAACAGAAATGGATGTAGGGGCAGGTGAAGCTCTAGGAGAACAGAGGTAGGAAAGGGTTTACAGAAGTGATGGTGTTCAAGTCAAACCTTGACACCTGGATGGGAATTGGGTAGGACCCACTCCCTAGGACAGTCAAAGGTGGCAGCTTGGAGGAAGGTGCAGGTGAGAAGTCTGGCACAGCCGAGTGTGGGCTTGTAGGTGTGAGAGGGCAGAGGATGCAGGAGATAGAGGCAGACCGGCCAGAGCGTATGCTAGCTGAGGGAGCTGGCCCTTAATAATACAGAAAACGGACACCCCAGACACTGCAGAAAACCTGGCTGAGGAAGTTTCACTTAGTTTAAGAATTATTTTTAGTGCCAAAGTAAAGTAGCATGCTGTCAACTGGGGGGAATGAATTTGGAGCTTAGTGTGAGTCATGTTCAGAAAAATAAAGGATTGGTGTAATTGAAGGATTTGTGGGTGCCGAAGATGGGAAGGCGAAACACTTCTGATTCATTTCTGGCTTTTGGAGAGGGATTGATGGCTGAATCTATTGTTTAAAAGGCTTCATTAAATAGAATGCCATTCTTACATCACACGTGACCTAGCATCTCTTAAAGCACCCGAGGAGTAGAGTTAAGACCTAGGACTGACATCGGGTGTGAGAATTTTAAAATGCTTGGTCTCTCTGCAGAG